GAAACCCCAGAACAAACCGCTCATGAAGGCGGACGGAGGAAAGAACTAAAAAAAATGACACTTTTTTTCTTCCTGAGGAGTCCAACAAGCTGTTTACCTCACAGAAAAGTAACAGTGCTACAAATGGCGTAGTGTCCAGTGGTTTTTCTGACGAGCTTTAAGTCAAGAGGCGCAGTGAGGAGCACAGATAGCGCGGAGAGCTAACTGCACTCATCTGCACTCAACTGCCGAGCTGCTGCTGCTGCTGTCGCCTGTTTACACTTCAGTCGCAGAGTTTAGCGTGCACGAGCGCGACTTCCGCCCTCCCACCTCACTGCTACACACACACACACACACACACACACACACACACACACACACACACACACACACATGCCCATAAACAAACCCACATCTCTATATAGAGTACACTACATACAGTTCAATGCAACTGTATACCATTTGCACAAAATAAAGATTTAAAACAACAACAACAACAACAATAATAATAATAATAATAATAATAATAATAATAATAATAAATCTTTCACAGTCTTTCAGTCATTTCATATCTTCTATGTATCTACCAACATCAGTATTCCACCATCTTCCTGAAATATCTTGCCATAAATATCACACACTGCCTGCTTTAAATTACCAAGGGGAAAAAATCTTATTTATTTATTTGTTTGTTTATTTATTTATTCTCTTTTTTTTTTAAACAAAAATCTTTTTCACTCTATTCTTTCCACATTGTCTTTTAGATCGTTGTCCTCTTGCAGCATTCACCCTCATTTAATTTATATATTTTTTAAAAATGATAATAAAACCCTGAAACCATAGTATGGGGTCTTTACATATTTACTAGTGATGTCTCGTTCACGAAAGAGTCGACTCTTTGAACCGACTCTTTGAACCGACTCAATAACAATACTGTTAGCTGTGTAATGTAATGTAATCAAAATGCTTCAGTTAAAAAAAAAAATCTGAGCTGTTCACACACACACACACACACACACACACACCACCTTGAACTACTCTGCGTTTTGTAGTGTTACATCCTGGAACTAAATTGGACTCAAATGAGATCATGAATCTACTACAATAGCCCATAATATTGAATTCATTTATTTACAAATAATAAAAAAAATTGCATAAGTATTCATCCCTGTTTCATGTGAATGGATTCGACCTGTGTGTGCAATTAAAGTGATCACAATATTAATGCACTTGTTCTTGAAAGGTCCCAAAGATTGTTAAAGGGGTTTGTCAGATTTTAAAAAAATACTTTTTCCAGTCAGGACATCTTAAATATTAAATATTAGATAATTAGATATTAGGCTCATTAGTTAAATATGTACAATAATATTTGGGCTCTTTATTGCACCCATAGAGCTTTTTTTTTTTTTTAATTGTACTATTTCTTTCCCCAGAACACATGAGGTCTAAACTGAAATTATTTGAGTTACTGAGGTTTTGGATGTGACCAGTCAAATAGGCTACTATCTATAATCACTCAATAATAAATATAATTCTTTAAATTGAATGGATTTTGGGGTGATTGATGGTTATGAACTTCCCTTCATATTAGCATTAACATTATTATTATAATTTTTTATTTATTTATTTTTTTAAATCACTCTAAGTAACTCATTTAAAGCACTGCTGGATGCTGGCTTCATGCAGCTCTTCTGCCATCTGGTGGACAGAGGAGGTATTACAGCAGCCATCTACATCTACTCCAGCTAACACCTTGCTGTATCAATTTAACGATTTAATTTATCGTGAAAAGTGACAAAGCAATATTGCTGAACATACTTACATGTTTATCTCAAATTTTAAAATAAAAAAAATCTAATCTAATGTTTCACTTGCCTAAAATGTAGCCAAATCAGCCAATGTGTGTTTAGCCAGAAATGCTAGCTTCTTTAATTCTGCACTGAAGCTACGAAGCTAACAAGTATTGTAAGTCTGTCACACAAAAATCTTTCTTTATTAATAAATACACATTCATATACTCGTTCAGCATCGTTAAGATACATAATCACACTTAAATCAGTAAAGATTGATTTACACTGGTTGTAGTTTGAGGCAGAAATTCACCAAAATGATTTTACCTCAGACTTCCATTAGCTGAATTAGCATGTAAACATTTATAGTCTGAGGTAAAAACTGTGCTTTAATTCATTCTATGAACTCACTTTAATTACACAAGAACATGCAAAACACAATGGCAGAGTGTAATTAATAGTTTTATTATAAAAGGACGTCAATAAAAACCCATTTCAAAGCCAGTTATAAATACACTGCTAAGCATAAGCTATATAACAACATATAGGAGTATGGAGCTAATATGGGAATTTAAAGGCAATATAAATGATATAAAGAAGCTCTAGCTCATGAGAACATCACTAAAAATAGACAAAAAAAGGGCATGGAGCTTCATATGTCTATCCAGTTATCCAGAGGAGCGATGAAAAACAATTTTGGATCAGTTTGTGAACTTGTACTTAAACAAGATAAAGCATAACAAAGATTTTTGTGTGCAGTTATGTGTTTTGTTTCTATAATTTCTTTATACTGATATGTTCTCAATTTTTTTTTTTTTTTTACTCAGAACTGCAAGCACATGTTGGGAAAAATCTCTGGTAAACATTTCTCTAGTTTCTTGAAATCCTCACAGTGCAAAGATCGTCACACACTGGCTGTGCATATATCACATTAAACATTTTCATGCTTGACTTTTTTTTTTTTTTTTCATGAGGAAAGCACACGTGCATGTGGATCTCATCAGATCACAATGGTCTTAAAAAGCAGAAATAAAACGTACACAATTTTCCTGTTATCTCAAATTTAGTCAATCAGCAATCAGCGATCATTTCACTGCAACCATTTCGTTATCACTCCGCAGCAGCTTCAGAGCGACTATGCAATGATTCAGAATGAACTTTGCACAATACGATGAAGTGGAGACGGGTAACATTGCCGTCTCACAGCTCGGGTTACTGTCTGTGTGGGGCTTTGTATGTTCTCTGTGTCTGCGTGGGTTTCTTCTGAGTTCTTTGGTTTCCTCCTGCGTCCCAGAAACAGGTGGACTGGCTACACTAAACTACCCATGTGTGTGAATGGTGCTCTGTGGTAGACCTGTGTCCAATCCAGGGTGTATTCCTGCCTTGCGCCCAGCGTTCCCGGGACAAGCTCTGGATCCACCGCAATCCTAACCAGGATAAAGCGCTTACTGAAGATGAATGAATAGATGCATACACAACACTGTAAGCTTTCCTCACTTAGTTAGTTAGTTACATTGGGAAAATTAACAAGCAAACTTTAAACAACAGTAATGTCTTGGCTGATCTTGTACATATTGGGTTAGAAGGTAATTGTGTATATTTTTGGCAAATCGTTTCCTTTTAGATTTGAAAGTTTGATTTGCTAGGATTTGGAGGTGGGAAATGCCCTATGACAGCTTATGAAATAAAAGCAATCTTGAAAATGCCGGAAAAAATGCTATTTCATTCAGTACTCGTATTTGTTTCTGATTGTAGCACCACAAAGACACACACAAAAAAAAAATAAATCAACACAGTACCCATAAACACCTGTGCAAGGCAACAGTAGAAAAAGCTTAGACAAAATGGTAAGAGAAATAAAGTTAAATAAATTCCACTGCTGTAAAACTGTTTTTAAAAGCTTCCTTTCATTGTTTTTCTTCAGTATACTAAAAGCCTATTGGTCCAGAGGCTCCAAAAAACCAGAATAAACACTAAGATTCAGGTGTGGCCAAGATGCCAGACTTTGGGAAGAAACTGACTACATGAAGGAGGCTGAGTTAAATGGAGTGCAGCGGAGTCCTGAGGCAGGATTCACTTAAAAAAAATAAGGAACATTAATGATATAGTATAAACCCTGAATATTTAAACTCCTGATGATGCTAATAATACCACTCACAAAAAAACCTGGTGTAGTTGTATATGGTTGTACGCTATTTCTGGACATTAATGTAGGCTTAATATCTGTCAGAAAATAAACACGACATTGTTAAACTGTCACTGTCTGTGTCAATAAAATCAAAAACAATTAAAAAAAACTGTACGGAGTAAAAAAAAAAAAAAAAAAAAAAAAAGGTACTTAAATAAAAATCTTATACAACTGAAATTATTTAACCAAGTGCGTCTCAACATCACAACACTCCAAGTGCTGCCTAGCCAATGGTCCTGCGTGTGGATGTGGCCCAGCCAATCGCAGAGGCCAAAGGTGAGTCCCAGATCCGAGCGCCTTTGAAGATTGTGAGTTCTTAGTTCAAGGTTGGGGACTTTGGATCCAGTCAGAGGTCAGCGAGTCAGTCAGTCATGCTGAGGCTCGGCTACTGGAAGGACGTCTCCACGCCGCTATCGCACACGCCGCCGTCGTCCAGCGGAGATAATTTTAGATCCTGCAGGCCTGCACAGACACCACCGTCTACTTGGGCGGAGAGAAAGAAAAACAAAAGGGAAAGGGGTTAAAAGAATAAAACAACAGCAACTGCTAATCTTCAAATATAAATCACTTTCTGGGGATTAAGGCAGTAAATGACAGACCAGTCTTTTTACAACTAAAAACATTTAGCCAGAAAGTTTAGTAAATGTGTTACTTGACAGAATGACAATAAAGGCATTCATGCATTCATTCATTTATATCATGACTAGGGTCGGTGTTATACTTTAATACATTGCAGCGCTGTTTAATGCTCGATTCTTATAGGTCAGAAGGTCTTATGTTGATGCACTTGTTTGGATCAGATATTTAGGGCAGACACTCCACATACTGTAAACAGATTAAAAACCGTGTAATTACATCAATCATGTGGTGATGAGGTGTTTATTTAACATTTATGGAAGGAGTCTCCAGTGTCGGCGCTTTAAGTTTTCCAACACGGGAGAGTTTTCAAGATGGAGGGCTTTGTGATTTCTGGTTTCTCGGTAATGAGAGAAAAAAACGAGAGGCTGGTGAGGGAATGATTTTTTTAAAGCTGCTATAATGTAAGTGGTATGGCTAAGTGGTTAAGACGTTGGACTTATGCTCGGAAGATTGAGAGTTCAAAATCTAGCACCACCAAGCTGCCACTGCTGGGCTCTTGAGCAAGGCCCTTAACCCTCAACTACTCAGTTGTATAAATGAGATAATTGTAAGTCGCTCTGGATAAGGGCGTCTGCCAAATGCCATAAATGTAAATGAGAACAGGAACTAACTTGTTTCACGGATGTCCACAACCTTAAATGCAACTATAAAATGGATTAAAAAAAACAGTGTGGGTTTTTTTTTAGTAAGCAAAAATTTGTCAGCGCTGTCAGCAAATTGAATATAAGCTATATAAACTGTAAATCAGTAAAAAGTATGACATGTCATTCTTTAATAAATATAAACATGGAAAACATGCTGCTATTGGAAAATAATCACCCTCAGGGTGGCAACAACAGTAACTCTACTATTTTACCTCTATGTAAATAACTTGGCAAATAAACAAAGTATGAGTCGTAGGACAAAACAAAGTTCTGGAAAATTTGGTACTCAATTGTAAAAGCACAAACACACCTCAGAGTGAGTCAAAGATTTTTCACTTTCCTTATAAACAATGATGAAAAACAAGGTGAGAGAATTCCCCCATTTTCCTCTCGAGCACTGTCCCTCCATCAAAACCAGAACCTGCATCTATGTGTCACTTTATTTCTCGTACAGAAATGGGATCTCAGTTCTGCTTTAGTGGGAGGGGAACCCCCCCCCACCCTTTCTGGTTTACATCTACACTATTTCAACAAACACACACACACACACACACACACACGTACAATGACCACACAGAAACTACAGTGCAAGCGTGTGTTGTCGCTGTCCCTCGTTTAGGGAAACCCCAAATGTGACACACACCACTAGCTGATGAGTTTCAAGCAAGGTGAAGGCATTACTGCTGAAAGAGGAAGTGTGTGACATCATTTGGGAGTCTATGTATGTATGTACGTATGTATGTATGTGTGTGTCACTGAAACGAGTCATCTTTGGGGTGTGTCGCTGCATGACAGCTACTAATCTTGGAAGGTCAAGGAGAAGAAGGGCGTTTGTAGTAGTACGTGTGTATGCTGGAAAATCCTACCTGTGGTCAGATGTTCGTCGTGTGTGTTATCGTTTTCCTCACACACAAAGTGCTCCTGCAGTATGCTGACAGCGCCAGTGTTCCCGATACTCTTCAGACCTGCTAAGAGCTCGCGCACCGTCCCGCCTGATACCTGCACAGCACACAGCGGGATCAGTGAACATACAGTATGTGTACATACATGGAGATGGATGCTTTGTGTGTGTGTATGTGAGAGAGAGATAGAGAGAAAGATGTGTACCTCATAGCTGTCCAGAAGTGTGCAGGCTGGCCGTGGGCTGAGGCGGAATGCGTTGATGAGGATGCCTAGTCTGAGTGTGTGTGCCAGACTCTCCCAGCCCCCTGGAGACTCCTCCAGACATTTGCACAGCACCTGCTTTGTCTCTGCGCTCAGACTCTGCATGTCTCCTACACACGCACACACACACACACACACACCGCCCTCACATTTAGCATGCAACAGGACTTCATAAACACATAGCCAACTGAATTGAATTCTCCATTCTGATTGGTCAAAAGGTGTTGATTAATCTTTTATAACAGCAGCTTTGGCAGACGTTATTCCGGTTTTCCAAAATGGCTGCTCTCCTAATGTTCCAGTATTGTTATGTTTCTAGATTATGAGAATTCATGTTATGTACATACAAATAACTCAGATCAGCTATGCTATGAGTAAAATGTTGCTGGAATATAAACAGTCCTTGGTGAGGTAATCAGATCTATGGATTCTACACCGAATGAAAAATACAGAATGAAAAACAGAGATAAGGTAAATACCTTGTGGTGGGATGACTACAGTGCTGGGCTGGTACGGTTTACCGTTCAGGATTTCCCGAACCTGAATAAAACATGACAAAAACACCATGTTATCACTCATCTGTTCAGCTCTATACCAGGCTATAAATACATCTAAATGTATCTGGAGGTGTATGTTCACAAAGAGGCAGCAGGAATGTCCACTACTTAACCAAGACACTTGAGTCATGTGTGTAATTTCCATCATCATTTAAAGAGGCAGTGTTTAATGTTTAATCATTCCTAAACCTATAATAATCTTCGACTTATACCGATATCTTAGAAGATGTAGAATTCCCAATAATGACATGCTATAAATCTCACTACTTTCTTCGTTTCAGGCTTCTGGTTAAATTTTTTTCAGGCCCTGAAATTGTCCCCGCCCACTTCCATGACAGACCTGCTCAATCCTGTAGCTTTTCCTTAAGGTGATAAATTAGAGGGTGATAAATTACTTGTAGCGCTTTAATCTTCCTGAATCAATCTCAGTTTTAAAAAAAAAGTTAGCAATGGAGGGGAAAGTGAACAGCTGTAGTCATTCTGAGCGCAACGTCAAACGTGTACTTAGATAAGTGAGTAACAAATTACCTCAGTGTGTGCACACACTCACCAGTGGCATTTGCACTATGTGTCAGTGTGGTCTGAGTGTGTATTCTCATCATGGCTCATTTCCACAGGGTGTGATGAGATTTCTCTAATGTTTTTTTTTTCCAAAGGTCAGTCATATAGTTATATATGTAATATTTTCAGACCTTGACATTGGCTACATCAGCTGTCATGATATAATTGTTTAGCCCTGCCCCTTCCCTTTTTTTTTAATCATGCACTCCTGTTTGATTGCTTCTTGTTTGTATTGTCTATCTATATCCATGCTCATCCACTCATATATTCACACATCCATCCTTCAATCTAGTGAATATAGTAAAAATTAATCTTAGTAAGTTTCCAGGAAACTGTTTCTCTGGGGTGAAAAAAAAAAGTCATGTGACTGACCTCTGATGAAGCAGCCATGTTAAGTGGGGTTGTCCCTGGGATGTAGCCCTCGTCCACCTCGTCTCTGTCTTCGCTGTAGCACTCCTCGTCTCTGAAGAACAGCGGCTCGAAGTTTTCTTTATGAGGATCGGCGCCTGGAACAAACAAACAACACAACTTTGTATGACGCAGTCACAAGCTTCAAACAACTGAATTCAGACCTTCGTGTAGATTAATATGTATAATAAACAGCAACACACACACACACACACACACACCTGCGGCGATGAGGAGTGCGCTCAGTTTGAGAGAGCCCCGCCCTGCTGCGATGTGAAGAGGTGTGGAGCCGTTATACGTCAGACTGTCCACTTTAGCATCACCCTGCGCAAACACACAGCAATCAGCCATCATATTATTTGAAACCTTCCTATAAACAAAAGTTTTTACCCCCCTTGTTTTTCAGGGTAGAATTTTCTTTTAATTTAATTAAATTCACGGAAAAAAAGTTAATTCCGTAAATTTCATATTCATTTAATGATGCTTTCTTATTAAAATAGTAAGAACACAGTCTTAATGTTACAGCAAATAAGTCATTCATCAGCAGTCTCAAATTTTTGATTCCCTCATTATCTCTAATTAATTTTCTTTATTAATTATCTCTCATGTACGTGTATAATGACTTAAAAAAAAATTAACACACACATACTTCAAAGTTCAAACAGAATACCGACTTTTCAGAGAGGTGGAATAGGTGGAGAAAAAAAACACTCAGACGTGGAAAAAATGAAGAGATGTGGACACAAAGACGCGAGCAAAAGTAGAAAAAAAAAAAAAAAGGCTGCCAAAGATTCAAGACATTAAAGACGTTTTGACTATCTCTGTTAGTTGTGATAATGAAGACACATTATCTTCGATCATTTTTGATTATCCATCCATCTATCCATCCATTCTCTGTACCACTTATCCTACACAGGGTCACGGGGGAACCTGGAGCCTATTCCAGGGGACTTGGAGCACAAGGCGAGGGACACCCGGGACGGGGTGCCAACCCATCGCAGGGCACAATCGCACACACACTTATACACAACGGACAATTTGGAAATGCCAATCAGCCTACAAGGCATGTCTTTGGACTGGGGGAGGAAACCGGAGTGCCTGGAGGAAACCCCTGAAGCACGGGGAGAACATGCAAACTCCACACACGAAGGGTGGAGGCGGGATTCGAACCCCCAACCCCACAGGTGCAAGGCAAAAATCAGATTTTTTTTTCCTCCCAACTTTTAAAAAATATATATATATATTTAAAACCTTTTCCTTATAGTAGCCCCATTCTCTAAATCTCATATTCAAATACACCATATTCTAAATACTATTCACTCAAACTTCATATACACATACATGATACACATACATATATACTGTATGTTAATAATTGTAATATCAACGTTTCACATCATTTGTAGAAAGCTTTAGAAAGGGAGTGAGAAAACTGAATATAAATGTATGTGTATATACTGTGGGGCAAAAAAAAAGTTCGTTTTGCCACAAAAGTGTTGCATATTTTTCAGAATGAGGAAATAGTACACCTAACACAGCTTTTCGACAACCTGTCAATCAACTGTGGGCTCCGTGTGTACAAGCCTGCCTGCACCTTCACCTCAAACACTTCTTTAATCTAAATGGCATGATGTGTGTCACTTCAGTCTTTACTTGTTTAAGTTTTATTCACAGCTAAATTAAAACGTCATCTTTGCTTGGCCGTGGATTGTATAAACGAATATCCAGAACACTTTGTATTCGGAAAGCGGCGATCAAATCTGGTCTCTGGTTCATATTCTTTAGAGCTGCACAGAAGCTATGTGGGAATTTTTTAACTAAGATGTTAATTCCAAACACTTGAACAGTAGGGTATATATAGTTACAGTGTAATAGTATATACATGTGCTGTTCCCCCTGTAATCCACTGTGTAGTTTCGATCAGACGTGAATAAGTTCCCCCTTTTTTTAAATGACTCAGTTCCTCTTAAAGGTTTCTTCCCAATGTTCTCAGGGAGGTTTTTCTTGCCATTGGCGGTCTCAACTCTTGTGTATTGGTATATATACACTGTTCATAAATGACTGTGTGTAAATTTATGATTTGAGGTAAGGAAAAAAAGAGAAGCTGGCAAGGGAATGACTGTTTATAGCTGTACTCTTT